AAATGCTGGTGTTCAAGAAAACACAGCACTGAAACAAGATCTGTATCACACAAAATGACTGAACTGCTCCAGAATATACACCAAGCTTCAGCATTTGCATACAGTAACCAACTCTGCTAATCAAGTACATCAGAAAGCTATTACTGTTTTCAAAATCACTGCTCCTAGAAATGTGACTAAATTTCCCGTCTAGCAATGGCAGGTTCAAATGAAATGGAAAGAGCCGGACCTTCACAAAGCCTAAAGCCAAGCTCTAGCATCTGCCACATCCCATCACAAGGCAAACCTAAGGCTTTTGGCTCAGAAAGCAAGAGGTGAGCCCCAAAGATTAATTAAGAGCTATACATAAAGCTAAATGCAAACCCACTTTCCCTAACTCAAGAAAAACCTGTACCCACAAAGGACCAGTAACTGGGAGCGTATGGGGAAATATTTGCTCTATCCCTAGGCATTTGCTAACGTGCCAGGTGTAACCAAAAGCCAGAGGTCAACAGGCTGAAGGACCCTCAGCCAGATACAACCCAGTTCCTCTTGCTGGGGTACATGCTTTGCTGCCTGGGATCAGCCAGCACCTTCCGTTTCTGCAAGGGGTTCAGGATTTGTTACCACATCCACTGCAGCGTTTGAGAGCTACAGGTCACTAGTGTGGAAGAGTCTGCAGAGCTTTTCTGACCCCTAAATAATAGTAATAATCAGTGATTCACCTAGTTCCTTCCATCCTAGTCCGTCAATGATAATCCCTTCCCTGAACATCAACTATTTGTTTTTGTTAATTAAACACAGTAAGATGTGTGCTCCAACCTTTCAACAGAATGTCAGAAAAACAATGCTTGCTTTAAACCCTTTTTCAAAGGGATTGTTTAAAAATAAAGATCCACCACAATAAAGACCACATGCTATCATCCTGAACCTCTGCACCTCCTCTGTCTTGATTTTAAGCAAAAATTGCTCTTTGAAGTATTGAACTAAGTTTGGAAAAAAGCTGTAAATGCAGCTTAATCTATATATAATCTTCATTTTCCTCTTCTGGAAGAAAACAACAGAGGGGAAAAAAAGCTGTAAGGCCTCTCCAACATCTGCTCTTCCAGATCTGATACAGATCTGGAAGCAGAACGTAGCTCTGGCCTGGCACGTATTTCACAGTCAAGGAAAACCCTCTTCCAAAACTTTGTCAGTGTCAGAAACAAAGTAATTTCGAAATAGTTTTCTACTTACTGGATCAGGAATCCTGAGAAATCAGGTAGAAAAACAGCCCTCAAAAGCTGAACTGGATACACAGGAGTTGCTGAGTCTTCATGATGAAGATGAATTTGAAGGTGGCAGCGTAGCAAAACCAAAATGAACCCACATCCCCATCGGTCAAACCAACATGAAAAACAGACAGGATGTTTAGAACAAAGAAACCCACTCACCATCACATGACAACATAGGTGACGGAAGTGCAGCTGGCCTCAAGACAACAAATTCATCCTAAAACAAAGTTATGAGCTCTCCCTGGCTCACCCGCTCCTGAGGTCACGCTCTGGTGGACTTACCAATGGATACTGTTTGCAATTGTATATAATTCTTCTTCTGATGGTCCACAGCTGACTACTCTTTGAAGACTGTGGAAGACAGGAGAGACCTTCACTCCAATCCAGTAAGGTCTGTCCTTTGGATTGCCAGGTTTGATAAGACTCTGAGAAATAGTCTATAACTTTAAAAGCCTAAGAAAGTAAGAATTTAATAATTCAAAAGACAAACCATTATACCGGGAACTGCAAACTAACATCTGATAATAGGAACTTCCTTTTGAAAAGTTAAATAACGAACAAAATGACCATTTAATACATTATACATCTAAGCAAAAAGGGAAGGGGGCGATGGTACGGTGGTGATTGTTTTCTTCCCTTCCCCATGAGGTTATATGTGGATTTTGTATTTTAGAGATAATTTTATTTTAGAGATATTTCACTCCTTTTCACAGGACTACAGAGCTTGGTGGGGTTTTGTTTTAAACAGAACAGCATTAATTGTTTGCTATTTCAAACTGTTTTACAGACTAATACTTGTGAAAATGAAGAAACAGCCTTTAGTCAAAGATGCTGCTGTTCCAGTCACAGCACTCTTAACAAAAGCACTGCACACTCAGCACATGAGCATGCTGCAGGCAAAGCTTAATTTATACATATAGGTAATCAGAGAATTAAGAATTTAAGTAGCCAATGGATGCTCAATAACAAGGATCTATTGCTAAATGCCTACAAGAAACGACAGGTTAGAAAGTATTGCATGAGGTATGTTTCTAATTCTTTATCAAATCAACAATGTCAATCTCTTACTGAGAGCGTGACAATGTTTAGAAAAATAATATTGCAGCAGATTCTGAACTGTACCAAACACATGCGTAACCCACACCCCCTTCCAAATGCTGTACATTTCCAGACATTTTGCATACCATAGGAATATCTGCAAAAGCCTCGTCAGGAAACTATTGCTGATTTTAAAACCAGCACTCCTGGAAACAAGAGGAAATCTTCACTCACCTCAAAATGCGAGAGTAAAAAAACCTAATTAAGGCATTTTATATTAATCACCAAGCAATTTGACAACTAAAATAATCAGAAACACTAATGCAAGTAATAGCAACCTACCAAATGTATTTTGAAGCAGAACATTGCCATGATAGTAAAGATCATGTCATTACTGTTCACACAAGAGCGATGAAGAAATTGTGCAGTTTTATTTCACAGCACTAAAAATCCAAGACAAGTTCTCAGAATTCATCCAGTTAGTACCATGTAACTACAAATTCGCATTGCATCCAGCGATTTGACAACACGATGCTAACCAGAGGTACAGCAGCAGTAATTACTAGGAAGAAAAAAATAATTTGCCAGAAAGATTAGTTAAGCTTTAGACATTTAACAAAATACAATACATTTCAAAGGTATTTAAGGGCAGCATTCAAGAACACTGTCAGTATCTTTCATCAATGAAAGCTTCCAGTTTAAGCAAGGTTGCAAACTAAGTCCTCAATGGATGACTGAGATGAGGTATTTTGTCCAGAACCACACAAAGGAAGAGAAAGCATTATTTTTCTTGCAGGACTTTTTCAGGATGTGGAAATCTGTAAGGCCATGAGATACGGCAGCCTGTTCACACACTGCTCACTGAGCTAGTGCCCAAATTTAGGGAAATATTTGGATCCATTCTACTTTCCCTTTTTAGTATATAAACAAATGTATATATTTGCTGAATAAAAGGATCATCCTGAAGTCACCTCCGTAATGGTAAGAAAAAGTCACTTGAACAAGTGCCCAGGACATTTACATGTCCAGACACTTCTATTGCTACAATTGTGCAAAGTTTCCACCTTCAGCCTCTAATTCTGCCAAGGAGTGATTCAGCACATCCTTTAAACACAAATCAGGAACCAAATAGCACAATTTTCCTTTACAGTTGCTGACAGCCTTTTTAAATGCTGATTTAACTGTGGATTTAATTTTCCTTTTTAATCGCTGACAGCAATTAAAGGCCACCAGCATCCTGGCCTGTGTCAGGAACAGTGTGGTGAGTGGGACTTGGGAGGTGATGGTCCCCCTGTCCTGGGCACTGGTGAGGCCCCACCTCGAGAGCTGGGTCCAGTTTTGGGCCTCTCACCACAAAAAAGACATTGAGGGGCTGGAGCGGGTCCAGAGAAGGGCAACGGAGCTGGTGAGGGGTCTGGAGAACAAGTCTCCTGAGGAGAGGCTGAGGGAGCTGGGGGTGTTCAGCCTGGAGAAAAGGAGGCTGAGGGGAGACCTTCTCGCTCTCTCCAACTCCCTGAAAGGAGGGTGTAGCCAGGGGGGGTTGGTCTCTTCTCCCAAGTCCCAGGCCACGGGACAAGAGGAAATGGCCTCAAGTTGCACCAGGGGAGGTTCAGATTGGAGAGTAGGAAAAATTTTGACACAGAAAAGGTTCTGAAGCCTTAGAATGGGCTGCCCAGGGAAGGGGTTGAGGCCCCATCCCTAGAGATATTTAAAAGACAGGTGGACATAGTGCTTAGTGACATGGTTTAGTGATGGTTTTTATCAGAGTTAGGTTGATGGTTGGACTAGATGATCTTAAAGGTCCCTTCCAACCTGGACAGTTCTAGGATTCTATGGTGCTTCACTGTAGAAGGATCTTTTTTGTTCCTCCACCTCATCTGGCACGTGGTCAAAAAAAGCAGTCAAGTGCAACATATTCCTCCTCCATAAGGAACAAGGATGTGTCTTTTAACAAACATAATGTCTTCAAGTGTCTCACTGAACTGACAAACAGAAATCCTCCATTCATCTCCAACAGTCAGGCTTTCATCCCTTCTGTTCAAATCATGAATCATCACAGGATGACTGACTCACAGAAAAACATATTTGTTCAAAGATGAATTTTCTCACCCTTGCATCTGCTATTTACCAAACTTAACTGCCCTTAAACAAAGGTTCATTTCTTTGGAGTTTGCCTCAAACGTTGCAATAAAGGCTGTAACAGGCTTCTGTCACAGTAATTATGATCAGTTGACAGAGTCTCAAGTCTCATGTGAAAAAGGAGACAAGCAAAGCTGATAGAGCAGTAAAAGTCATATGCTGGGGCTGACAACTGTTCCGACTGACATACCTGCATTTGTCTCAGCATTGATATTCCTCTCTATTTCACTGGTTTCACAAGAGCAGCTGCAGAGCTAACACAGGCAGGTATTTCACTGGTACGTTAATGCTGAAATATCCGCCAGCTTTAATTGGTATCTTCAGTGATCAGAACCTTGGACTCCACAGGAATTGGTGCACTAATGAAACAAAGCCCTACGTCCCATTCCTTAATCCAGAGTAGAACAGTAAAAAACATGTTTTTGATTGCTCCTCAACTTACATATATGTAATCCTTAAATGCTTTTATACAAGCCCTATTTAAAAAAAAGAATAGTGACAAGTCTAAGTCCTCCAGAAAATATTTAAAAATATACACTGGTAAACTCCTCAACTTTGAGCCAGTTTGACTTTCTCATTTCCATTTTTGCAGCAGCTAAACTCCCAGTTCTGAAGGTGAGCCTAGAAAAAAAAAGTTACCCTGCAGCAAATGCTAGTGTGTTATAGTGCACCTGATAGATACCCTGTGGTAATCACTTACATCGACCTTTCACCCCCTCCCCCAGTAACACATTTATAGGGCATGAGTATGCACTTCAGGAGCTACCAGCACCATAAATCCACACCCTCATCTGCTTCAGGACAACTTGTTCACACAGCCATTCCCTTCAGGGAGATGTAGGAATTTTTATCCAACATACTGCACTTGAGACATTTCTAGCCAATTATCTTCATTTTTCCTTTTTCTGCCACACTGCAGAGCTCTAAAATACTTTCCAACTTTCACTAGCAACTAAACCTACTGTAAATGCAGTTTCTTTGAAAGATCACCAGTACTTGTACGCAATTAATTTCTTTTAAAACAGCTTCATTTCAAGAACAAAGTGGCACATAAAATGTATAAGGCCTATGAAGTGATACTACGTTCAGTGCCTTAAAGCTAGCAGAAGTCAAGTCTCAGACAGATACTTTTTACAGTTCAAAACCTGCCTGGATTTAGCGTTAAGAACAACCCTGTTTCAAGCAGGAGGCTGGACTGCAGACCTCCAAAGGTCCCTTCCAGCCAGAGCTGCCAGGAAAACTGTCAGACGTTCATAGCCGTGCAGAGCCTGACCTGAATACCCTACCCCAAACCTTTAACACAAGAAACTGATGGTAGCAAGTGAAAGAATGCACCAGATTACTTAGGGAACAACTGCTGCATGTCCCAGAGCACCTTAAAGGAAGAGTGACTACTTCCCACTCTCTCTTATTTTTTTTTTAACACTTCTTTTTTAAAGATAATTTACTTACCCTAGAGGCTAATGTGCTATGCAGGATGGGTTGATGATGACTTAAAGAATTTTAACTCCTGGACCCTTTCCAGGCAGATAATGCATGCAGGAACACTGCAACTCCTCCTGCTTTAAACGCCGGAGAGAGATGTTTGTGTGGTGCTGTCCAGGCAGAAGTTGGACATCTGTGGAGAAGGGCTATGTACCCTCTCCACCCTAGAGGCTCAGAAAAAGGAGAAAAAAGCTCACAGGTTTGAATTCATGCCTGCTACAGGAAAACAGCAGCTAGCAAAACAGGCAGCACAAAGCAATACTTAAGTGGTCCAATCACCTTCAATTTCATAAAACAGAATTTGCTGCAGCTCTTAAATCCGTCTACGGCACATTACTAAAATGAATGACCAATGAAATTACTTATTCAGACATTAACATGCAGGTACCCTTCATCTGACACCACTTATCTGTTACAAAAATGCTCATCAACATCCCTCTTACAGCATTTGGTTTTGTAATTCTGCTTATGTAATAAACAGTGCACTGAGCTGAGACAACCCATCAAATCTGCAAGTTTAGAAAGCCAACACAGCAGCAGCAAATCATCAAAAGTGCTTATTCACCAATGTTGGTTGAACAGAACTGAGATCAATTTGCACAACAGCCACTCCGTTTCATTCCCTCAAAGTTCATCAATAGTGGTAATATTAACTTTTGGCAATTCACACTCCTCTTTGAAGTGGCAGTTTTCCAGGATGTCCTTGTAATAGTCCTTGAGGTCCGCATAAGTGGAGATGGTTTCATTTGAGTGATGAAATGACAAGAGTTTTTCATTCAACAGTATCTGCACTTGATACTCTTCTTTAGAGGTGTTCACTTGATCACAGTGGTAAAGCACAAATACCAGGTTGGCAGCATAAGGCACGATCCGGCCACTGCGAAATTTCCGATGCTCTTGTCTGATGTAGTTGTTTGCCTTGAGAGGCTCATCATCTTTGAAGAAACCCATAAGGGCAAGCAGTGGCTGAAGCGTCTCTGCATGTCCAACTTGTACAATCAAAGGTGAAGAAATGGGTTTTGAACTAAAAAAAGAAAAAAAGCGCAAAGGATGAGCAAGAGCCTGTGCTTTAAAACCAACATACCAACATATTGCACAGCTGTAGCAACGGAGACTTAAAGAAGTAAACTTAGAGCCTGTTTTACTCCCGATAAAAACCCTTTGGGAATTTCAGTATATTACAGATTATTTTTTTTAAAACATCCGAGCTTCCTACATTTTGTCCCAGTTAAAAGGTATTGGCTCTTACATAAAATGTAAGAAGTTGCAACAGCTGTAGTTAGGCTACAGCTAAAGCCTAATATAAATATGGTAAACAAAAGCAAGACGGTGTGCACCCATATACTCAGGACATCTGACTCCCTCCATGAACCTACTCACTCCTGCTCTTCCCAGATATGGAAAGATCCAGTGACCATGCTACAGTTAACATACCAGTTTCGCATTAAATATAAAGTTTTTAAACAGCATTGCCTCCTCCTACCAGGAATTTGAGAGAAGGGCAGCAAATCACCAACCCAGCTGCAAGGCTTTGTTAACACTCAAACCAAGTCAAGCCCCTCACCAGATGTGCCAGAGTCCCCTTCCACTGTCCCCACGTGGGAAGGATGCAGGACACTGCAGTACCTCACTAGTGCTGTTCATACAGATCTATTGCAAATACATACAGCCCCATCACAGGCTGTGCAGAAGAACTCCCTGAGACTTTTTTTTTTTTTAAATCAAATAAAATTTTTACTACAGGTTTCACAGATTTGCTTTAGTACAAACTTATGGCTAAAATATAACAGCTTTTCCCAGCATGCTGAGCTGTGTTTAATAGAACTGATTAGAGTTAGTAATTTTTTTGTTTCTTTTTCACTGGCAGACGCAAAAACAACCTGAATGACGAAGCATAATGAACTACTGAGATCATCCAGAATGCAATCGATTCACAAAGACCGATAATTTATTACAAAAATATACACTTTTTCTTTAGCTATTCTAAAAACTTCAAATTACCCAGAATTTTTAAAAGGCTTTTTAATAAGCTTCTGCCTAGAGTAATTTAAGGTGCAGCAAATCCCCACATTATCATCATTTTAGACTTGGATTATAAACTTTTCAGCATTAATTTTACTAGATTTGAGAATCAAACCCCTTTCCCAACTGCTGTAATAAAGGGTAAGTGACAATTCAATTTCAAGATGAAAACTGAGTCTAAGTACAAACTTATTGGCACATTAAGAAATCCCTACTACCCTCTGACCTAACTACAACCACATGATTGCCTGCACAAGCATACAAATTACTGAATTAACACACAAACTGCTTCCCCTCTCTGGCACACCACCACAGGATTTTAAGGAGCATTTCTTGCCTACGTGACCACCATGCTTTCAACTGCATATCGCAAACAAGAGTCGTAACTGGATAGCAAAATACTACCCATTTTTTTTTGTCCTGTAATACAGTTCAGATGTTTGGAAGGTACATCAGCCTTTACCAAAGTTCAGTCTGAAGACAGTGATACAGTTGCCAGAGGAAAACAGCTGTCCCTCTGCAATTTATTAGTCCAAATTATAAACAGGACTACTGCTATTCCCGACTTTTGAGAATGCCAACTAGTCAAAAAGATTATACTCCCTCAGCACACAGGCCAGCAAATGAAGTCACTGATACTTACCACAAACATAGCCTAAAACAAAGGCAGTTTGTGCAACAAGAGGCTACACATCGTTCAGCCAAAGGAAAGATTAGAGCTTTCTGCATGAGGAAGCAGCAAAGGTGAACATCTGCCCTTTGCTCCAGAGAGATGATGGCTTTTTGGGACCATGTCCAAGTGGTACTCAGAAGCCCAGGTCACTTGTTCTAGTGCATGTAAATACACATTTAGCTCTCACGAGACAAGAGGTGATGTTTGGCCTACTCCAGCTGCCAGCAAAGTCCACCCACAAATAAGACACATCTTGATTGGCCTGAAAAGGAGGCGTTTCCTCTGCTCCAACCTAAAGTCTGAAGCGACTGAAGAATGGTTAACTGGGAAACTTGCCTGTAAATTCAAACTTTGATCAGGTATTCAGCACTGGCACAGGATGAGCTCTGGACTACCAGCTTGATGTAGCCATGGTGTTTGTGCAGTCTGAAATGCACCCTGCACTGTTATGCTCCCACAGCTCCTCTAGACTCCTTATACATGTATGCACATACATGTACGTACTCTCCCCTTTGGCAAAGCATCACTTAAACATAACAGGAAAACAGAGAGAGGACTGATTCTGGTCAAACAAAGCATTAAAACCACAGAGAGGTTCTGTATGGAGGATGTTACTTTTTTTTTCCACCCATACCTTTGCTCCACCAAGAAGTGTACATTTGCTATAGCCCCTCTTCCAGCTACTCAAAAATAAGTGGTTCTGCTGACAGATGGGGCTTCTATGTAATGTAGGACCTCTCAATGAATCTTTCCTTTGTCAAATCTCTCCTTAAATACACGTAACATTTCTAGCATGCACAACGTCCTGTGGCAAGGAGTTGCACAGCTTCACACACTGCTCTTAATTGTTTCTATTTGTAGATGCTATGTAGCATTTATTCTTTCTGCATTCAACTTGGCAATAACATTCATTCCAAGCTAAGAAATCCTACCTTAGTCATTCCAAATTTTTTCCACGTAAGCTATATCCTTTTAGATCAGAGTATTAGAAATGGACAAAACTCACAACAGTAAGCTATATTGTAAATCCATGCTGCAGCCATAATGCTGTTTTCTTATTTCACGATATCCAGTGCTTTTCTACTTCGCTTGCAGAAGTTCAAGATGCTTCCAGACAACTATAACAAACTCAAAACTCAACCTATAAGCAGTAAGTTCTACCTGACAATAAAGCCACTTTTACCATGCGGATTACTCCACAGATCCGCAATTTTCAAGCCCAGTTGGTCTTACAAGGTCCTTTTACAATCCTCCTAGTAGAAAAATTTATCTTGAATAGAAGTGCTGCATTTGCAATGCCACTTCTCACCTCTTCTTCCCGGTCATTTACAACGTGCTGGGCAGCCAAGATCCTTGCAGATTTATCTCCAAAAGCAACCTGCCTCTGCTAGGAAAATCAATCAGCTATTCCTACCCTCCACTTCTTGTATTTTTATTAATTTTTTAGCCATGTAAGGACGTTCCCACTTAACCCTGGCTGCTTGATTTCTTTTGATAAGGAAACCTGTTGAAAGATGTCCGGAAATCACAACCGTGTCTTTGAGATCACCCTATTTGTATACTTGCTGATCCTTCCCAAGAGCTCCAAGAGGTATGTTTTCCTTTCAAAGAGCTGTACTGACACTACTCTGGGATATCATATTCATCATAGCGTCATAGAATGGTTCAGGTTGGAAGGGACCTTCAAGATCATTGAGCTCCAACCCCCTGGGCAGGGACACCTCCCACCAGACCAGGTTGCTCAAAGCCCCATCCAGCCCAGCCCTGAACACGTCCAAGGAAGGGGCATCCACAACTTCCCTGGGCAACCTGTTCCAGTGTCTCTCCACCCTCACAGAAATAATTTCTTCCCAATATCTAGTCTAAATCTCCCCTCTTTCAATTTAAAACCATTACCACTTGACCTATCACTCCACTCCCTGATAAAGTCCCTCCCCATCTTTCCTGTAGCCCCCTTCAGGTACTGGAAGGGGCTCTAAGGTCTCCCCAGAGCCTTCTCTTCTCCAGGCTGAAAAAACCCCAGCTCTCTCAGCCTGTCCTCATCAGAGAGGTGCTCCATCCCTCTGATCATCTTCATGGCCCTCCATGGGACCTGCTCCAACAGGTCCGCGTCCTTCTTGTGCTGAGGACTCCAGAGCTGGACACAGTGCTCCAGGTGGGGTCTCACCAGAGCACAGCAGAGGGGTAGAGACTTCACACACTCACCCCTGGACTCCAGAGCTGGACATAGTGCTCCAGGTAGGATCTCACCAGAGCAGAGGGGTAGAGATTTCACACACTCACCCCTCCCCCCCCGAAAAG